GCCCGCCGCGCTGCACGCCCGGCTGGGCCGCAGGGACAGCAGCAGGGCCGCGGCTGCGTTGGGGCCACCCTCCCCTTCCAGGTCAAGGCAGAAATGCCAACAGTGGCACTGCTGAGAAAGATTCAGTTCCTTTCTCACTCCCCAGCCTTATGTAAGCAGTATTTCTATCCCAGTATTCTATCCTGTGCTTATTTCTTTTTTTAGTATTCTTGTCTTCAGCTCTGATCCAGTTTTGCTTTTGTATTTGCTGCCTTTTGGGTGCCTTTTAAGGTTTGTTTTTGCACAAGGCAGCATTTCCCTCTGCTTGAAGGAGACAGCATAGAGTGACAAGAGAAAAAAGACTGGGGGTTAGTCAGGAATTCCTGATTTCTGCTTGTGAGTCCATCTGTGAGCTAAGATAAGCTTACGTGAGGACCATTGTTATTCCCTAAATACATTTTGTCTCTTAGCTACTTGCTGGCATCTTCTGTTGCAGAGTGTTTTATACAGACTGATAACCTACTTCCACTGAAGTGCTACTGCCCATGTCACCATTGCCTTTGCAAATATTAGAAACCCCTGGGATGTCTTCAGGAGCTGAAGCTGCTATTCCCCTGCACATACCTGCAGCACTAAGGATGTATCTTGCCATAGGTTATGCCCTGAGCACCTATGAGGGAAGCTTTATGCAGATAGATGCGATATGGTAAATGAGCATCGCTAGTAGCTGAATTGTTCTGTGTGTAAAACTTCATCTTCGTCCTCTTTCAGCCATACTCTTAGAAGACAGAAATTCCAGTGAGTCTGCCTGGAAGAATAAAATTTCTATATCTACTCTAAACACTCCAGAGCCAGCAATGATGCATGAGCCTTTAGTTGGCAGCCAGAAAAGGAAAGCAAGGAAAACTAAGATCACGCATCTTGTCCGAACAGCAGATGGTCGAGTGTCACCAGCTGGAGGGACACTGGGTAAGGAAATTGGAGTTTAAATTTTGTTAAAATGGAATTGTTGGAGAACATGTGGGTGTACAAGCAACCTATCAGGGAAGTATTTTTCAGGTAGCTTGGTTTCATACCTGTGTAGAAAAGTCGCTCTTTAAATACAGGTATCAATGAACTAGGAAATCAGAGGGACCATAATGGCAAACCTTTTTTTTTGTTTGAATGCCCAAATCTGTCTTATCTGCCTAGATATTTCTCCCTGAGAACTGAGAGCTGATATATAGAGAAACAGGAAACAGTTACCTTTCATAATTTATTTCCAGTCCAGCAAAGAAATTACATGGTGGCAAGTTATGAGATGTAAAAATTAATTCCATAAAATGACAGTCAATGCCACGGTCCTTGTAGGAGTCCTCTGCAGTTTAGGTAGTCTTTCAGGGCTTCTGTATCTAAAACTTACACAAGAGCTTTCTTGCCTGACCTAAAAGATCAAAGTCAGTTCAATGCAAAGTCAGTGAACTGCTTCGTAAACCTTAGTACTGTGCTTCTGCCAATAGCTTGGGTCAGAAGAGGCTGCAGTATGAAGCAGATTACACTTGCAGAATCAGAGTACTAAAGCTAAAGATTCTGTTAACACAAGACTAGTCAGTATATTGATGGGCTGCTGAGAATTTAAAGGATAGATTTGCAAGCTTAACTTTCTTTTATTGCAGAGGAGAAGCCAAAAGAGCTGCCACAAAGTACTCTTCAAAAAACATCAAGTTCAGAAACAGATTGCAACAGTGAATGCTCCAGAAATGCAGAGACAGAAGAAAATCATAGTATTACATCAGATATGCCAGCGGTGTCTGCGTTTTTCAGCTTAGCTGCTCTGGCAGAAGTAGCAGCCATGGAAAATGTACACAGGTATTGTTTTCTTTTCCTCTTGTTGTCTAAGTGGATAGTATGTGGCTGCCAGCTTGTTCAGAAGAACGTTTGAATTTCTGACTGTTTAATTTGGCAGATGTTTCCTCTTCCACAGTTTGTCTCTGACAATGTAACCTCTTAGTAGTCAGTAAAATGATCCTCCTTGGTAAGCTTACCTACAAATTTTTGTACATAGACAGGTTCATATGCTCCTTGAGATCCTAATGATTGAGGGTTTCTAACTATCAGATGACATTTGTCAGATAATAGCAGATTTAAATAGCTGTTGCATGCTCATTTGCATTTCTCAGTAGCCTAAGACTGTGGGTAGAATTTCCTGTAACATCAGCTCAAGCTTTTATGCTGAACTTTGCTGAAGGAAGCTAACAGCTTATCTTTACTCTTTTGCTTTGCTGCATATGAGGCAAAGCATTTACAGAATGGCATGGGGCAGAACAGCTCTGGGTGGTGGAAGGCCTTGCTAGTTTGAGTTGGTCCTCTGTTACTGAGTAGAGCATCCACACAGATAAGGTGGAGAATGTTCAGGTTCCTTTGGGCTGTTGGATCAGTTCCGCATGGTCAGATCCTGCATGCTAGAGCTGTGATGAGAAGAAACCAATGACAGCAAGTTCTCCATGGCTCTTGATGATCCAGTTTTGTTCTTTGATGGTGCAGCTCACTGGAGATGTTTACTGTTGATCTCATGGCCCCCATTGACCAGCCCAGTCCTGTGTGTTCAGGCTACGCATCAAACATTGAAAGGCTGTTTAGAAGCTCAGGGGCCCTCCAAGGAACAAAGTCAGGTGAAGCCAACCTGCTAGCTTTTCTCTGCAGAAGCTGTTTGCTTGCTTAAGCAACACAGTTCTGGATGAGAAGTGTTCACACACTGCAGTCAGCTTGGCCTTTCCTCCCAGCTTTGCAAAATAAGTGGTAGCTATCAAGACAGCAGAAGGCTGAACTTGTTTCTGTTATCTTCTGTAGTCAGAAGCCACAAAATGAGACTTGAAGTGCTGTGCTAAGCTTGGCTGTCGCTCACACCTTTGTGGTTTACATTGATTTCTATTAGCGCTGAATTTCAGAATTTCACAAGAGCAACAGAATTTGCTTTGCTGCAATTTTTCCCTCTTTATCCTCCTCCTCTTGTTCCTGTTGAAGTGAGCTAATGTTTCAGTCTGTAGCCTTCTGTTTGGGTCTGCCTTTCTTACTCCCACATTTTGTCATCACATCATGCAACTGGAGCAACATACCACCTTCCATGATGCCTGAAAACAACAAACTGGCGAATGTCCAGCAACTGCTGCAAATTCCAACTTGTAGTCACCCTGGGAGGAAGTGGAGGGGGGTGACAACAGGGGGGGACGCTTTCCCAGTAGAAACTAAGCCACTTCTCTCGCATACTTGGCAAATGGAAGTCAAAACAGAAACGTAAATCTCATGGCCTAGATGCTTCTCCATTTTCTACTCTGTCACCTATTTGTTATCTTTTGCAACTCACTTCTGTATTTTCAAATAGCCAGAAATGAGAAGAACAGCATTAAGAGGTTTGCCTGATGAGTTTGTTCAGTGTCTGACTTAATAATTAAATAATGTCAGAAGTCTTGGGCCCTAGAAGCCAAACTCCTTTTTGACTGTGATTAGAGCTTCTCTGGAAGTAGCAGCATGGTTTCATTTGAAGGCTTCTGTTCAGCTTTATTCACCTTGTGCATGCCCCAGCTGAGTGCTGTGGGCTTGAGTTGGGTTTTGTGCCAAGGCCGCTTCACTGCGCCACGGCTGTGCAAAGCACGTTGGTACCTCTGTTTCTGCTGGGGTCCTGGCTGTGCCAGAGTGAGGTGAAGTGGCCCTTGTGTAAATATGAAGCGGGCCCCAGATTTTTATTGCTGCACATGACACATGCTGTAACAAAAATAGAACCTGACTAGTGAGATTAGATAACAGGCGGTGACGTGCTTTGTGTGTGTGTTTTAAAAGAGAAGCTGCAAAGGAGCTCTCCCAGGTCCATCTGCTACAATGATTGATTTCCACCACATAATTCTGGTGCAGTTTATTTTTATGACGCCCTGTGCCAGAGCATCATTTATAAAAGAACATAACACTGCTGTAGTAATGAAAGAGATGTTGTGCTGGCCTGATGAAGTGTTAAGTCATGAAACTTGGAGTGATCCCAATGGGCAGCCATGATGATGAGAACATTTCCATACTGCTTGAAAGCTGACTGTAGACTCAAGTTAACAGAATACATGCCACTGTGCATTTACCCGCTTTCTCCACGTGAGCTGTACTCCCTTCTGAGGACTGAGGCTGCTCCCTTATAAAATGAGTAAAGGCACTTGTGTGCTCCTGACTCACTCTTCAGGTGTGCATTTTTGTTTGTACGGTCAAATACCATTTATTGCCTCTTGGTTTTGCCTGACTGTGCCTTGTGTTGCAGGTGGTTCTCAGGATACTGAGTTACTGTTGCAGGAATACCTCTAGGAAGAGCCTGTCACAGCCCTGTGGGCATTTGTAGCAGCAGGGAGCTAAGGGTGCTGTAGCATCAGATGTTAAACTGTATCCCGTGCTGCTTTCCATCCTTTCTGGTCGAATAAAGGCACCTCCTGTGCTCCAAATAATGATGGGTGGCTTTTCTTTTCTTCTTTTGCAGAAGTCAGAGGGCCACACCTCTCCCACACGATGGACAGCCAAATGAAATGTCTCAGGCTCCAGTGCTTATTTCCTGCGCTGACCAGTGAAGCTCCACTTTATTGTAAAACATTGTGCTTTACCTAATATCCTAGCCTTGTCTTTACCAAGGGAAGCTAGTCAGTCCATGTGATGGAAACTATAGACTGCAAGCAAGTGCTTATTGCTCTGAGTGGCCCAGAATTCACTGGAAGCCAGGCGTTAGCAACTTGGGCCAGGTCCTCAAATCGGAACCCAGTATGTAGGAGGGTGATATTAATTATCTATTAATGAACAGAAATGGAATGATCCTAGAGCTTGCTTTCTATTGAAGGCTTTTAAACAGTAAATAGGTGGTTGGTGTGAAAAAGGCTGCCTTTACTGTTAGCTCACACAGCATCTCTTTTACCAACCAGAGAGTACGGCAACTAGTTTCGTATAATACCTAGTTATTCTAAATGAAAATAAAATTTAAAAAAAAAAAGAAAAAAAAAGATGACAAAAAAAAAACAAAAACAACAACAAAAACACTGACGCACTGCACTAGTTATTATTAGATATTCTTAGTCATTTTTGTACATGAAGATTTAAGTTCTAAGATGGTTTATATTAATAGGTTATGCCTACGTTTATATTGTAGAATAAATTTAAAACCTGTTCCAGAGAACTCAAGGCAGCCTGGACAGATGTACCATTGTTAGCGGTGTTTGGGCAGCCATGTGGTCCAGATGTTCTGCACTTTTATATTTGCCACCAGAGTGGTAGAGTTTACTGGGAAAAATTCTGACAGGCTGTGTTTGGGTTTGTTTCTTTTTAATTTAGCTTTCAGTAACCAGGATGATGTGCATTAGGAAAAGGAGTGGTGTATGGAAAAGAAAATACTGCAGATAATTGACTTGTCTTTCATGCCTTGAAGGGTTCTTTTATTTTTGCGTAGATGTCTGAGCAACTTGGTGAAACTTTCCTGTAAACAAAAAATACTGCAAATGCGTTTTTCAAAAGTGACCTTAGTATTATTTCACCGTTCTGAAAAACCTAAACCCGTGACTTTTCAATATCCATGTACACCAATACACACACTTTTTACATTTTACAGACACTGGCACTGTTGTAGTTACTACAGACAGTCCAAATTGGTTTCAGAGTCTGTGTAAAGGGCCGATTAGAGTTTGTGTTGGTAGAGTGGCAAGTTGTATACGGAAAAACTACAACCGAAGAGTAACGTTTGACTGAATTCAGACTACCAAACAGATCCATCTGCCAGTTTCTGTCTTTGCTTATGTTGAATTTTTGTGTTTTGCTCTCATATATACATCCCAAGAGCAGGCCAAGTGTATCACTTGGCCTGGTGTTCTTGCTATCTTGACTTACACTATTGTATAACCAAGTGTAGATTCCTACCAATAGATGCAAAACGATCACTAGTAATTGATCTGAAGCTACAAATTCAACAGGGTACTTCTTATATAGCACAAGATGTTTCCCTACTTTTTTGCATTGTAGCACAACAATTTACCAAATTGGACTCCAGCAATAATTTTCTATTAGTCTTCGTCATACCGGCTGAACTTTTGATAGTATTAGATTGAGTTTGAAGTTCTTTGAATTAAGTCTTTAAATGATGCGAGTTTACATCATTCTATCAGGCATTCTTATTTATACTTGATGAACTGATAATGTGTTTTGGGGTTATTTTGTAACTAATTTGATGTAATAGCCATATGGACAGTAAGTCTATTAACGCTTGCTAGGTTTAGCCTTTCATTGTTGTAGTTAAGTGAAAGTCTTTGGTTCACTGTCAGGAAACAATATACAACATCCCGCACGAGTTGTGGCGAAGGAGTAAAGGTCTGGTGAAAGGCAGGTAGCTGGGCAGGTGTCGCTGGAGCAGCACCATGGAGGATGCATGTGTTGGAAGAAAGGAACAACAGCAAAAGAACAACAAAATTTGCGAGCCAATGAGTCAGTGAAAAGGCTTTTTAAAAATTCAGGGAAATTTATGACTAAGAGCCCCTAGAATGCCATTGCAGCCTATGGCAGTATTTTTAATAAGATTTTATTAAAGTTTTATAAATTATTTTAACAAGACAGGAAAAAAACTTAAAAGACTTAAAACTTCTGGCTCACAGCAAGGTGGCTGTTGGAGTTTTGGACCACTTTATAATTAGCTGAAATCCAAATATGTTACAGTGCAGGCCGTTCACCTTGACAATGGTACTAACTTATTTCTCTAGAAACCTTTAGAGTAGATATATTTTTGTCAAAGCACCCCATCCTTCCTCGATTTAAATTTCAATATTGTTCCTGAAGATATTTCTGTATATTAATGGTACCTTTTTTAAAAGAAACAGAAAATTACTTTTTTCTATATGAATTAATATCTTACTTGATCTGCTTTTCCTTGACTTTCCCTTAGAGAGGGGGTAGGGTTGGGTCAGTTTACTGGATATGACTGTTTTCAGATACTTATAAACCTTTTTGTAGATATGCTTAATTTTTAAGCGATTAGGCACTGAGAGTAGCAGAAATCCTGCAAAGCTTTATAGTTCACTAGGCATTTGCCTTTGTTGGTTCTCTGAGTGATGTCTTGATTTCAGTAGCTAGAATTTTCCCTGAATCTACTAGAAGGGGTATCAGTATTTTCAGGTAACAAAGTCTGTTAGCACAACAAAAATTTCAGGCCAATATCTTACTGTATTGGGGTTGGGTTGTTTCCTTGTTTGTTTTGTTTTAATTTTTATTAATTTCAGCTGCTTTCATTTTGGAAAATCTTATTGCTATTGTGTGTACTTCAGTATACCAGCAAACACTGTTACCCATTAACACATTGTCCACAAATGCCTCTAGAGAAGAAATTGTTGCACCTTATGTATATCTCAAGCAAACCAAAATATGATGCTTTTCTGCTTTGTTTATTCTGAATATGTTGTATCATACTCTACTGAACCCATTTTAACTTAGCTAAAACTATCGATATTTATGCATTTCACATTATTTTCTGGATCTGAACCTGTGTATAAATCTTTCTTTAAAAAAAAGAAAAGCATTTACCGTAGTCGTCCTCTGTGACTTATCTGTGGGAGGGGGGAATCTTGTCTCAAGTGTAAAATGCAGTACTGTCCCAGTTTTCCTTGGCATTTATTTATTTAGTGATCTTTGATATTTCATATGTAGTTTTGAGGTATACAAAATACATTGTTGTAGCTGAAGCTACAGGTCTGAGCAGCTGGGAGAAAATTACTGTAATGTCTTCTTAATTGTTCTAGTACTGTATTACAAGTATGGGAAGAGTGTTCTGCAGAACATTTGAGATGCAGATTCTTATCCCCACAGTAGGTTATTTTCCAGATATTAGACCAAATCAATCAAAACTCGATGATCTTAAAGGTCTAAAGATTAGCAGGCGAAATGATTCTATCATTCTACAATTCTAAAACATCTATGGAGATTACTTAATGCTCTGCTTATGACAGTAACTACCCCTTGAATGTGCTGTGATTTCAGAAATAGAATATATTTATTTAAGATGATTGAATGCTCTTTTATACTAATACAAGATCCCAAAGTCATGAGTAAGAGAATTCTTTGTAGTTTGGGTTTCTATTTTATAGCATTGGTGCATGACTTTTGAAATGAGAAGTGATAAGCGTTGTTAGAAAGGGGCACAGGAACAAGGGACTGGTAGAAACGTGTGAGCTTGTGATGTTTAAATTCCAGCTTTGGTCTTTATTATTTGGGTAAAAGCTGCCTTTGTAGCACAAGGCTGAAGAGCACTGCAGTTTGTATCAAGCAGAAACACAAAAGAGTTCAGAGCGAGGGAATGCCATATAGTTTGGATGCTGTCTTTTGGAACAGGATATTAAATTGAAGCAGTTTTAATTGCCACTGCCTGTTTAGCTATTGTATGGAGAAGACTGAAGGCAACAGTTGTAGACCTGGGGCAGCTAAGAAGAGAAGAGGAAAGGCAAGCTGGCCTTTGTTCTCAGTGTGGCAAAGTTATGGCAACAAAGGAGAATCGGGAAAAAAATTGTATATATATGTGTGTGTATGCGTGTGTGTGCCTGGGTGTGTACATTTGGAGAAAAAATGGTAGGAAAAACAAAACCATGATGGGTCTACAAGAGACTACAATGTGTGTTGACCCTTTGAGTGCACTCCCTTTTTTTGAATGCTGAGTCTGATATGGCTACCTCTCCTAAAAGACTACTTTGGTTAACTTCCATTTGCTTTCAGGCTTGATGGCATAATCTTGTCAGTCATTGCTACCATTTGCATATCACTGTGTGCTTCACTTCCCGAGAGCAACGTTGGTATAGCACAGACAGTGTAAAGGCTGATTATACAGTGGCAGCCAAACTGTGTTGCTGGAGCATTTTTCTTTAACTTCTGACATAGTCGTAAGGGTTGCAGGACGTGGGCCTGCCAGCTGGGGTTGGTTCAGCGAGATCGGTTTCTGTAACAACAGAAAAAGCAGTGCCTGTGGGGTGATGGACTTCAGTTGTGGCTGGAGGTGACACAGTAAGCCAAACGCTGCTCTTGAAACTGGTTCTGCAGCTGACATTTGCAATCCTGACTTCACAAGCGAAACGATAACCATGCAGCTCGTGTGCTGTGTACCGTGCGTTATCTGCTGTTTGTTTGCTGTGCTTTGATCCATCGTAGAGCTCCTAGGTGTCTCTGCCAGGTTTTTAATACTTGTGGCATTCTCCTTACCTTCTGCATATTGTGGGACCGTCACCTATGGCTGCCAGGATGCTGAGGCACTTTGGGACACTGGGCGCCGTGAGCAAGTGCATTTAGGCTGTGAAAGAGTAGCTTGCCTCCTCCCCTGGACTGCCCAGTAGAAAGGCACAGTGAGGTTCATGCTCTCACCTCAGCACTACTATAGTCATTTATACACTCAGTATTTTTTTACTGAATTGACAACTTCATTCGAAGTTCATGAAAGCTTATGAAATGGATGTATATTTTATGTTGCCCCACTAACACTTCTGAAGCAGAAATCTAGGAAGACTTGAGCTGAGATCTCCACTCGGCAACAGACCTAAGGGTAGGCTGAAAAGGCCCTTTACGCGAGGGGCAGCGTTGCTGCTTGCGGTGTGACAGTGCCAGTGCCCCCATCATGGACCACTGCGCTCTTGGGGTTACGCTTGGGCTTGCGTGGTGTTCTGGGGGAGGCACAGCGTTGTGACCTAGGGCCTTCGCTGACGTGGAATGAGAAAAATGACTGCAAATAGCTTAACATTTATTGAGTTCTTCCAAAGAGTTATGTTGGAGGTTCTGGGTCTTGACTGTTACCACATACCAGCAGACCCACACTGTACTCTACTGGAAAAACACACACCTGTACAGCTAACTAACCAGGCTTCCGAATGTGATGGTCTCATCTGCTATTCTCACCCCTACAAGTGAAACCTCATTTTTCCCCCGACACTGCTCTGCTTGAATGGGTGGCTGGGGCTTTGAAGGTGACAGCAGCAGGAG